TTTTTTTTTTTCTTTTTTTACTTTTAAAATTATTTTCCACTTCAAATAATCTCCCCAAACAAACATTTATATGTTATACTTATAGGTTTGCTAATATTGGGTTTTAGGAATTATTTCCTTAATTAATTTGGAAGAATTATTAAATTATTTTTAGAAATTAAAAAGGGAATAAAAACGTTTGACATAATTTATTTAAAAAATNTTGACTTTGAATATATGTTCACACTGTTCGATGTTACACGAGTTGAGTTACTTTTTTCTTAGATTAAGCCATTTGTACATTCTTTTGTTGACATGAAGTTTGACATGCTTTTGAAATTCAAAGTGTTGTTGGCGGGAAAGTGTGCAATGTTTAAAAAACTGGCTAATCATGATGCGGCATGTGGCACAATATCAAACTTAGTGTCAAAAAGAATGTACATGTAGCATTATAACCCTTACTGTCATGGACAACGATTTTGACAATGACCACAAAACGAAAAAGAGCATAAATAGTTAAAAATAACATTGATAGAATGCCTAAGCTAAAGCCTAAACCTAGAATTTGAATTTGGTTTTGTGAGTGTCCACTAATTAAGCCTCTGTTTGTCTACCATTATTTCTAAAAATTGTTTGCTACAGTAAGATTCTACATCACACATTCACCCAATAAAATATTGTACAGACAAATCAATAAAATTACTTTAAATTTCAACCACACATTCTCCGAAAAATACTATTCATTACTCTATTTTTCTCCAAATAATGGGAGACAAACACACCCTAAATGTTTACAACTCACCAGATGGATATCTTCTATATAAGTGTATGAAATGATTTTGTGTAATCTCTCGTACCTGATAAATTTGCTCTCTCCATATATTGCAGTTGCTATGAAGTCATTTCCTCGTATGAGCATAGCGAGTATTCTTATTTGCCATTGTCCTTTCCTAAAATTAGGCATTAGGTTGTATAAAAAAAAGTACATGAATCAAATAGAATATGTTGGTTATAATCGTCATAAACATCTGATATCAATATCTAACAGGGTAATTGAATGAAAAAGGTTATATGTGTCCATCGACTGGCGCATTTTCATAAAAAAACAAAAGATATTATGAGCATAGCAATGGAATACACTTTGTCCTTTCATATATATCAAATGTTAATATAGAGACATCGATGTGCGAAAGTAGTACATAAACCAATCCTTAGATGTTAGTTATAATGATCATAAATATCTGAGATAATTTTCTAATGAAGTAATTCGAATAAGAACGACTACATGTGTTCACCAGCTAGATGCATTATCAGTTAAGGATATTCTAAGCATAGCGAGCGTACGCACACGCTACTGTCCTATTGCGTTAATATAGAGACGTAGGTGTACGAAAGCAATACGTGAATCAATAATGATATAACCAATAATAATATATTAGTTATAACAATTATAAATTAACATTCTCTCTCTCTCTCTCTCTCTCTCAGTTGATGAGATATTCCTCTTTTTTTATATTTGGTTGATGAAATTTTGATCCAATTAAATTTCGTCACCTTATCTGTTGGTAAATAAGCCTCTGTATGATCCACATTCTTTCAAAATTCATTTTCAACCACACTAGACGAGGAGGAACTGGCCAAGGCACGGAGGGCGCTACAATCTCTCGAGGAGTTCTTGAAGGAGAGGTCCTGTCTGTCCTTCGTAGGCGAGTTGGCTATTCCTGATGCTACTCGAAAAACATTAGCTACAGGCTGCCAGAAATGGCGTGAGCACCACTGAATAAATGCGGTCAAAAGCGATGCCTCGCAGCATGGAATGTTATTTCTACTGCCTGGCTCGGGGTTCTAAATTTTATCTTTTTCATCCATTAAATAATATTTAATTACTTGAAAAGTCTGATTTA